TTTTTTTGGGGGTTTTGGGGGGGGGATTTATGCACAAGAAGCAAAAACGATACTTAAATAACTGTTCCCACATTTTACAGAAAGAAAAAAAACTCTCGGTGTTTCCAATCACCAGTATGGTCAATCTTAATAGTTTAACAATATTTTAAGTTAATAATATACATTAAGGTAACTCTTTAAAAACGCGTCTCTGCGCAACAAAGTGAGCGACAGTACAAATGTAGATGACTAGCAAGGTGGCGCTGATGACACTGAGGACCATGACTGATGTTCTTGAGGTACAGTCTTGAACAGAAAGTGACTCCGAAATGTCGTATGTAGCTACAAAGAAGAAAAGGAAATTTGAGCTCCCCCAGAAAAAGTGTTTGTACGAAAAAAATATAATTTAGTATGCAAAATTGTTCTATATTAAATAGGAATTTTGTGGAATATCTGATAAAAACAAACTTTCCTTGAATCATTACTCCATAAGATAAAGCTATGATATAAAGTACAGTACAGGAAGGAGTAAGAAACCATAAGATAAAGCTATGGTATAAAGTACAGTACAGGAAGAAGTAAAATGTATCTTAGAGGCATTTCCGAAAGCATTATCTGAACATATTTATCTTCTATTCACAAGAGGAAATTAGAAATGAAACATCTGTGTATATTGAGAACATGTTATCATATCTAAACAACCATCCATCGTTTTTGGCCAGTTGTGAGAAGGATCAATCTCATACAGACTGAGGGGATTCGTAGTTACTTCTATTCATTGCTTCTCCAATTCACAGTACTATCTAAGCGGCTGTAAGTGTGGACTTAATTTATTGTGGAATCTGAAAACAAAACAAAACAAAAAAAAACAAGGAGGGTGCAAAAAAACTAACATCTCAGGAAGTACAAAATAGTAGCAGCTACTGACGCAGTTCTTGACTGGTCGATGAACAAAAGGTTTTTATGAAAATGAGAAGTAGGCAATGGACCAGAAAACCGTGTGCAAGTGAGAAGAACACAGTAGTGGTTTTAGAGAACGAGAGTGTACTTTTCCCTGTAGAGATATGCAAACGGACCATCACGTTACGTAAACTGTTTAAAACGAAACGCTCGCACTTGTGTTACTAAAATAGCGTATGAATATGTACATAAAGGTGTTCGTATAATATATGATGAAAGACTTACATATGACATATGCTAATTCAATGGTGTGACACTGCAAGATTCGTATATTTACGACACAGGTGACATGTTTAGTAACATTTGGCTTTCTTAGACGAGGTCTTAGAAGCTAGACGAGGTCTTTGGAAGTCAGAATTCGTGTATGGTGGGAAACATGTGGTTTTGGAGTTTTTATTCGTGTACGGTGATGAACATGTGGTTTTTGGAGTTTTTGTTGCTTTTTAAATTTTTGGCACAAAGCTACATAATGGGCTATATGTGCTAGGAATCGAACTCCGAGTGTTATCATTGTAAATCTGTAAACTTACCGCTGGGTGGAGGATCTATGGAAGTTTGTCTAGATGTGTTGACTAAGATTTAATTATATAATCTTGTATCTGTGCTATGCACACTGCTAGTATCGAAATCCAATTTTTGCTATCAATAGTCCTCAAACTTGCCATTAAGCCATCTGATTGGGGAATTTTTATGTTACTCAATCATTTTAATCTAACTTTTTAATAGTTACAATAACAGAGGAATAACTGCAGGATTTGTCGATACTTTAGACAGCTTGAGTAATAAAACAAAATTTGCTAGACCATGGTTTTCAAACTGGTTTTACTACCCCCCTCCCTCCGAAAATGTTTTAGACTGTGATGACCTCCCTCTCACACACGCAGGGGCGTCGAGAGCCAGCCCTGGGCTCAGTAATATCATCGGATCCCACTTTCATTCTATTTATTAACTTTTGCCGATTTTTTCATAAAAGAAATTAGGTGACATATTTCTTCACGAATCCATGAAAAAGCTGTAGCCATTTTGGATCATTAAATAGTATGAATTTTTAGCGAGCTTTGGAATGTGTTACTGCTGGGCCCCTCAACAGGTCCCGGGGCAGGTGCCCCTTGCCCCCTTTCGTCAGGCCTGACTGTATGTACTGTAAGATATCTGTAATCGCAATATTTCCTTATGATCTCGCGACCTCATTTTGGGTCGAGATCCCAGTTTGAAAAACTCTGTCCTAGTTGCTTGAATATACAAGATAAAAGGTAGTTAGCTCATAACGCTTAGCTGTGTAACCCATTAGAACCTCATGAATCATTACACAGCACTGAACTATACAGTGAGAGAAGAAACAGATTCAGCGCCTTTAAAGAAAGAAAATGTCCTACTTCACTTTCAATCGAATGGTGGGCGATATAATAAAATAACTACTATCTATGAAATTTATTTGATACCATAATTATTTGTCTGTCAGGGATCCAGACACGGCGCATGTTACTGGCGCACCAGAAGCGCCGCTGCCATCAATCCACATTCTGGCACAAAGCGGCAGAGAAGCAACGACTGTTCGAATTGGTGACCAGCTAAACTTCAGGATTGAAATTCCACAGAACAGTAAGTACTTGCACGGCAATTTCAAAAATAGAAACAGAATATTTCCGATGAGCTTACGCCGTAGTGTTATGAAATAAAGTAGGGCACCTAATATTAAAAAAAGAACTCGTCATTTCAAACATGAGAAAAAAACTAAACAATATTCACTAGTTACATTATAATAAATTTCTTTATTTTAAAGACACATTTTGATAACAAAATTAAGATAATATTTATCAATTTAATTAGATATTAAAGTATTCAACAAAATGTTTCAAAACATTGATCTAAGAATGACAAGAATGCGTCTAATGTTTGTAGCTATTAAATACTGCCATAATTACTAAATACCCCTTTAATTTTCGTGTATCTAAAACTAGTGTTATGCTTGTAGCAATTGTCTCTTGCATCCATCGAGATTTAGGATTTTAAGTTTGTGATTGAAGTTCATGAAGCAACTTGAATATGAATCAGTGTTGAGTTTCAACTGTTATTTTTTTCAAGATCTGAGATTGACACTATTCTTTTCCAGACGAAACATAGTTGTCTTCAGCCACTGTTAAAAGATTTAATCTACACCTTTTATACTATTTTAAAGTAATATGATCTTAGCCTCGTGGCTTTCTGCTACTTTCTTATTTGCTGTGCGAGTTTAAAGTACTGTTCTTGCATTTACAAAATAATAGTGTATTACTTTAAAAGTCTGGTATTTTTTCTATTTTATAGTACAGTGGAAAATAAGTCATGACATAACCCTAATTAGTTTGTCCCTCTACACATTTTCTTCCTTTTCCACTTTAATACACAATATTGTGATATACAATTACATCTGTGATTCAGAAACGTATCAACAACGTAGAAAATTATTGTAGTTTTACAATATCGTCTTCAGATGTTAAGAGTTTTCACAATCAGAGAGTTGAAAGGGTTATATGTCAAATGCAATGTAATTATTCATATACTTCCCACCAGAAAGTATCTCATCATGTAGTCATAGACTGAAAGAGGGGTGTCTTAAATGAATACTATCCTTGTATAGTATAACATTGGCTTTCGATTCAATAACTGATTCTACTCTCATGTATAACTTGTAGATCCTGTAAAATTCTCCCATTTTTTGTTACTCTTGCAACACAAAAAAATCATAGTACATCTATTAAAAATACTGTAATTTGAAACAATGATTCAAGAAACATAAAAACCAAATTAGCCATCGTAATTGAAAAACGGCCCAATCTAAACCAACCTCATGGGGTACTAAAATACTTTTATTAAGCCGTTAAGCAATATCCGGTCATTTTACATATTTGTTTCATATTGTGTGTGCATATAAACAACGTCTTTTATTCCATTAAAGGAGTTTTGGAATGTATTTTAGATGTTGCTCCATCAAGGTCCAAATACTTTTGAATGATCAGGTACACAGTATATCTCTAAAACTCCATATATATATTCCATATATATTCACGGAAGATTTTCTACATTTCCAACTACCTATGAACACCCCTTTCCCACTGTTACGTAATTCACGACTTTTTGATATCTTTCACACACATTTCCTTGATATCTTTCACACACATTTCGACACTTCTATCTCCTTGGTTGAGAAATGACCCGATATTCTAGTAAGTGACTGTGTTGACGTTAGATGCAAATATAGATAAAACAAAGTTTGACTTTCTTAATTTTGTACCATTTTGTTTTTTTTTCTTTTACACAGCACCCTATGGCATATTTGCTAGAAGTTGTCTGGCAATGGCTAAAGATGGCAAAAGCATATTCAGGATTATAGATGAAGATGGGTAAGACGTTTTCATTATTATTTTGTTTTACTGTGTAATTTGAAAAAGAATGAAATAATGAAAAACAGAAAATACACACTTGAAGTTTCTTTGACGTATTGTTTTCTATTTTAAAATGATTCTTTATGTTTCTGAAAGGTTCTAGTATATATACAATTGTTTTATACTCAATATTTTCATTTTATAGATCAAAAATGGAATATCAAACAAAATGACGTTGGATTAGTTTAATACATATTAATTTCGGAACAGTCTGTTGTTTTGGGGTTTTATTAAATTTTGGCATTTAATTCACGTAATGCATTTGAAATAAAATATTTTAGAATATTCATTAAAATTTTCTAAGCTGGTATTTTTCGGAACTACAAACTAAAGGTTTTAAGACCACATTTTTGAATATCTGAACTAAACAGTTTATTACACAGCTACATTCATATCTGGTATTAACAAAATTTTATTTTACATCCAAATAGTAATTTTTAACACACGAAAGCATAACCCTTCAAGACACGTCACTAGTTTTATAAACAAATGTTGTACTTTGTTAACCAGGGAATATCTTTTAAATGGGTTAATAATTTTGAAGAAATTTTCCTATTTTCTTCTTCTAGAACAGCAAGTTTTACCATAAAAGAATGTGCTCGCGTTAGGCAACAAACGCATACAAGGACTAGCTGAAAACTGTGGTATTGATCAGTATCAGCTCTCATTAGCACAGCTAATTCAATGTTACCCAAAAGGATTTTATATGGCTTTAGGGGTGGAAGATGGGTGAAGAGGCTTTAGATACATACACATATACTCTCTCATTACGAGTTTCAGCTAAATTTAGCATTTAAGATTTATTTTAATGTGGAGTAAGTTTCAATATAAAAACATTTTTTGAAATGCAGGTTGGGTTTATTCTCTAATATGTGCTTCCATTACATTTTTCATATTACATTAAAATCGACATAAAGCCATGAACTTAATAATCTCAAATTAAATGTCGTGCCTAATTACTTAATAATTGTTTTGAAACTCATTTCATTATAATTACATTGTGGTTTCTAATTTGCGGCGGTCTCCAAGGAAGTTCTGAGAAAGGCTAGGATTCGATCCTGAGTTCTCAAGTCAGGTACAGAATTCACCCGACCGGGGCCTCATCATGATTAGTGGCAGAAACATAGGATATTAGCTAATTAGCAATTAATATCTAACGAATAGAAAATAACTAAATTATTGTTATTTACACTTAAGTGATCGCATAGGCTACAAAACATTACAGCAATTGATACCTGATTGCTGCAATCTTACCGTAAATACTGTGTTTCGGGATGAAGAAACAAAGGCGTCTGAAAGTTACACTAAGTTTGTCAGTTTGTTTTACATTCGGGACTTACTAAACTGATTTGTCATATAGATGATAAAGCTATAATATAGACAAATTAATCTTGTTTTGTTTCTACAGATGCCCAGTCGATAGGTCTATATTTCCACAGTTTGTTCAAGCTGAGAAAGGCCTTGAAAGTACTTACGAGGCGTTTCGATTTACCGAATCCTATGGAGTTATTTTCCAGTGTAACGTCAAATATTGTATAGGAAAGTGTGAACCAGTAAGTCTGCCCTGTGTGGAACCAATTAAACTTTTGTTATATTAATGTGAAATGGATATTTGATTTTTTGAGTCCAATGGAGTTATTTTCCAGTGTAACATGAAATACTGTTTGAGAAGTGTGAACCGGTACCAAACTGATGATACAACTCATCCTCATCATTAAATGCAGAATTCAGTATTCTGATGTATTAAGTTTGGTATAAGAGTTACTTTATCAATTTATACTTTTTAAGTTCTGATCTATATAGTTAGATAATTTTTGATCAGGAGTTATTAATAATTATTCACCTCTATCTTCAGGTTTTAAATGGTTTTACAATAGGGTTGTTTGACAACAGTATCCAATAAGTTTGTTTCTTGTTCACTTGAACGACTCCTTATACACGCGGTGAATTAAACGGCTAGACAAAGATCCTTGTGGTTCAGGCATAATCATCCCTGTAATGGTAGTTTTAAACTAGGGTTAGACAGAGGTGAGGGCTATGATATTAATAAAATTGGAAATATAATTTATAGGAAAACATGTACAACAGACATAAAACATGAACGTTATTTAAAATGTATTATTAATTGTTACTATTGTAATACTAGAAGTATTAGAAATAAAACTGATGAGTTCAACGCGTTGTGGAAACTGGAGATTTTGATATTATGGATATCACTGAGACTTGGTTGGATTTGAACAATTTTGATGATAGAAAGTTTTTGAAATACCAGGGTACAGGTTATTTACTAGAGACAGAGTATTGAATAAAGGGGGAGGAGTAGCTGTGTATGTGAGGAGTGAATTGCACCCTGTTCAGTTAGAGCAAATTAAAGAAAATAGCACTGAGGTTGAGTCAGTTTGGGTTAGTGTTAGTAGATATAAAGGGAAAATACTTGTAATTGGTATTTGTTATAGACCACCACGGCAGAATGTGTAAGTTAATGAGAAACTGTTTAATGAGATCAGAATGGTAGCTGAAAAAGATGTTATTATTATGGGAGATTATAATTTCAGGGGTACTGATTGGTAAGATTTTGAGGAGGATAGTTTTTGGAAATTGTTCATAATACTTTTATACACCTACAAGAAAGGAAGCTATATTAGATTTCATATTATCATCTGATATGAATATGATAGACAGGTTTGTAGTTGGTGAGCATATAAGTACAAGCAGCCATTGTACTATTAGGTTTGGGATTTCACTACATGCAGAATTGAAAAAGAATAGTACCCTGATTCCAACTTTCAGGAAAGTCAATTTTGATGGAATGAGACATGATCTGGCTTCTGTAGATTGGAATAAAGAGTTGTGAGGGGATCTTGAACAGATGTGGGAAGCATTTAGGGAAAATTGATATGCATACAGAACATACATATTCCATACAGATAAAAAGGGGAGCAACGGAGAGGAACAAGCTAATATGCTTTAGTAAAAGTTTAACATATCATATTAGGGATAAACATAACAAATTCAATAAATTTAAATTTACTGAAAATAATAAGGACTCAGAGGACTACAGGAAATCAAGAGAGCTGTTTAAAAAAGAAGTTAAAAGGGCAAAATCTGTATATGAAAGAGGGTTGGCTGAGAGAGAGTGAAATCAAACAATAAGTTCTTTAGGAATATGATGGGTAAGCAAAATGTTAGGATGGGGATTGGGCCTTTTAAGAATGACAGTGAGGAGCTGATTTTGGTAAACTTATTAAATCATATGTTCTCTTCATTTTTTACAAAGGAAGATATAAGTATTATGCCTGAACCAGAGCACTCAATGTATGAAGAAAATACTTATGTAAAAATATATCATTTTAAATTGTGAAATTATAAGAGAAAAATTGGGAAACCTAAAAATTGATAAGTCTCCTGGCCAGACAACTTGTATCCTAAAGTTTTAAAGGAACTTAAAGATTTCATTTGTGAACCGCTAGCTAATATTTTTTATAGGTCATTGAGTAGCAGAAGAGTATTATAAGATTGGAAGCTGGCTAATGTTAGTACAATATTTGAAGGAGGTGATAAACACTGTTCAGGCAATTATAGGTCAGTTAGTCTTACATCAGTAGTTGGAAAGATTTTGGAGACTGTGATTAAAGATGCATTACAGAGTCACTTAAAGCAGTTTGACATAGTGTCAAAGAGCTAGCATGATTTCACTAAGGGAATGTTTTGTTTAACAAATGTTCTGACATTTTTTGAGGATGTTACTGTAAAAGTTGATGAAGGAAATACTGTGGATTTAGTTTACCTTGGTTTTTAAATACTTCTTACAAAAATTAAATATGTGGGTGTGGGAGAAATGCTATTAAATTGGATAGAAAATTGCCTGGAGACTAGAAAGCAGAGAGTAATAATAAATGGAGTTAGATCTGACTGGATCATAGTTACAAGTGGTGTGCCTCAGGGCTCTGTGCTTGGTCCTCTACTGTTTGTGATTTATATTAGTGATATTGACTCTGGAATGACTAACAGAATATTGGATATTGCAGATGATATTAAGATTTTTGGGGTGGCTAACTATATCAAAAATACTGCAGATTTACAGGGAGATTTAGATCATTTGATGCATTGGGCCAATACATGGCAGATGATGTTTAACTATTCAAAATGTAAGGTGATGTATGCATGTTTTCGCAATTCAAAGTATTGCTACAATTTAAATGGGAATACATTGAATACCGTGGTTTAAGTAAAACATCTTGGTGTAGTGATAGAAAAATCCACTAAGTCATCTAAACAGTGTATTGTAGCTAGCAACAGAGCTAATAGGATTTTGGGTAGCATATATAGAAATATTGTATACAAGAAGGCAAGGGATATTACTGTTTCACTGTATATATGTCATTTAGAGTACAGTGTACAGTTTTGGGTTCCCTTCCTCAAGGACATTGAATTGGTGGAGAAGGTTCACAGAAAACCCATTAGTATTATACCTGGGATGGTAGGATTGTCCTATGAGGAGAGACTAAAATCTCTAAACTTACATTCTCTGTAGAGAAGAAGGGTCAGAGGGGATTTGACTGAGTTGTTTAAGGGTATTGATAATATAGATCCACCAAACATTTTCGTGTTTAGCAGTGAAAACAATAGGACAAGGGGTCATAAAGTCAAATTTTTGCAGCGTAGGAGTCGTCTGCAGTTTAGACAGCATTACTTTTCAAACAGGGTGATTGGCTTTTGAAATGAGCTGCCTTCAAGGGTGGTAGAGGCAGAAAATTTAACTGAATTCAAGAAAATATTGGATGAATACATGAATAGTAAGGGATGGTTATAGTTGGGAGCTGGAAGGGACATTCTTGATGAGCTAATACGTTCATTTTTGTTCCTTTAAAATTTTATGAAATTTATGGTGGACCGGATGGAGGGCAATCAGTTGGTAGTACTGGTGAGGTTGACTGTCACTCTTATAACATCTACAGAAAAAAGTGCTAAGGATAATTAGTACCACCACTTGGATCCACTTTTCGATACTCTAACCACTTAGTCACGATCAGACCATGGGTCAGTTCGTAGTAAGACTTATAGCAATACATCATCCTTCGCCAACTTAATCTTTATATATCCTATATGTTGTGTGTTTGTTTGTCCACGAACTCCATCCACAATTTTGGAGCTAACAGCCCCAAACGTAATAGGTGGACTCGGGGGGTTCTTGTCTATATGGTGTTTCCACTACCAAGGGAGCCTAAAACGTGCCCGGAAGGGCACTCAGGCATAATGGGGTCTAGGAATATGTTTGTAGAGTCGGCTAGATAAACATTGGATTTTTTGCTCCTGGCTTCCATTGGGGTCCCGACGGCGCCATTTCTGAAATTGTGTTCATAACCCAATCTCAGGCCAAAGGGAATCTGACCATCCCGGGTCAAACATGACCCTAATACCGAACAAGATCGTACATACACAAGCCAGTGGGACCAACTTGGTGCACGTGCTCATGGACTACTGTGGGTTTCCAAACGGTTTTTATTGGGGTAGTTTAAGAAGTAGCTGGAGATAAGAGGAGAGCTTTATCGGTACATTACAGTCATATTAATTATTGTATTATACATTGCTAACATATAAGCATAAGCCGAACAGAGAATTCTGTTTGTATAACCTAACTATTGAGACTCATTTTTTATTTATTGTAAGACTTCATTGTAGTGGACTAAACAAAATCCGGCTGGAGCTATATTGTGTATAATTATTAGCTTAAGGTTTGTAAAGAAAATGGCTACTTTAACTGCTAAAACATCGGATGAATCATAGCATAATTTAAAACTAACATTTTACGTTAGATTTTGTTTTCGAGCAATATTTGGAGTGAATTTATTTTTTCTTATGGTTTGCTTGCATTACTGGTTAGGTCTTGCAGAGAAGTTTTATTAGTTTCGTTTGTCCCCCCAGTGGCACAGCGGACTTACAACGCTAGAAAACGGGTTTCGATACCCATGGTGGGCAGAGCACAGATAGCCCATTGTGTAGCTTTGTGCTTAACTTCAAACAAACAAACAAACAGTTTCGTTTGAAATAGTTGTTAATTCTGAGGCTCAGTATCAGTTTTTATAATTTTTATTTGGGTTTTCTTTAAATACTACAATTCTGTTAGAACAAATGAAAAACTATCCTGAACATACAAATATATCTTAATTATCGGCAATGATCCCCCCTTCCTATCATATTGATAGTCTAAACTTGCAAGTCCCCTAGCGGGTCAGCAGTAAGTGTACGGATTTGGAACACTAAAATCTAGGATTAAATTCCCCCCTGGTGATTAGTACGCAGATAGCGCAAAAACAAAGTTGCGATTGTAAATAAAACAATAAATTAAAAATTAATTAATATTTATTTCAAATGTGTTTATATTTGTGTATGAGACTTGTGTAAAGTAAATATTTTAACAGAAAGAAGGCATAGTACGGGACTGTCATGGTCTTATGTTTAGAGGAGCTCGACTAGCAATCTATCGGTTCGACTCCTCGTCATCGAATCTCTTCGACATTTCAGCCGTGGGGGCTTCATAATGTGTAAAGAGTAGCCCAGAATTTGGCGGTTCGTACTGTTGACTTGCCTTCCCTCTAGACTAACACTATAAAATTAAAGAAAGCTAACAGATAAGCCTGGAAATTAAACAAACAAACAAACGTCTTGCAAGACGAGTTATAGAAATTCAATTCATAGAGCGTCCCGGAACGGCGTTCTGCCTCTTGAGGATTCGAGCCTCCTGGTCTTCTGATTGGTATGTCAAAGTGAATCAGAAAAGGAAGTTGTATCTCTTTCAAAATCCCAGTTTAACTCCTGGGAACATTTCGGATCAAGAAGATATATATATTAAACTATTTCAAGCAAACCTAAACGAATATCAGTATTTTTTATTGTTGTTGTTGTTAAAGTAGAAAGTGGGAGTTGTTAGCGTCAAATGCCTTTTTCTAAGCAATTATATTATTGTTACGTTATTAATTACATAACCCTTAAAAGCACAACTGGCAAACTGCTGCATTATATTAGCCAATCCTGTTTGGTCTTGTTTTCTGTTTACAGGTCTCTTGTAGCGAAAACAAGGAAGAATATATGTCATGGGGTCGCCGAAAACGAGATCTGCAACCTGAGAAAGAATCTAAGGATATGACTCTGAGTCATGAAATTTTCGTTCTGGATTACGGAGATGAAACATTGACTTCATTGAAAGATGTTTCTCAGGGATTCAACGGTGAGAATTTTAAAGTTCTTGACAGAAACCTGATGCATGTAAAATGTGTCTTTTATAGTCACAACTAGAAGAGTAGAATCTTTGTGTACCTGATAAATTACAATATCTGAATTATTTATTGAACTTTAATCAAGCTTTAGTTAGTGAGCAAAAAAAGTTAGCACAAAATTATTTGTGAAGGTTCAGACTTGAGGACCAAGATATCTTTCAGATGTTGGGTAATTTTTACTACAATGTCATTTAAAAAAATCGATACGTGTAGGGAAATTAGAGGATAAAAATATATGAAAACAATATTTTTTTATGTTTTAATGCATGCTCTTATCTGTAGATACTCCTGATAAGCATGTATAAAGTACAGTACAGGAAGAAGTAAGAAACATAGCTTTATCTTATTGTTTCTTACTTCTTCCTGTTCTGTACTTTATACCATAGCTTTATCTTATGGTTTCTTACTTCTTCCTGTACTGTACTTTATACCATAGCTTTATCTTATGGTTTCTTACTTCTTCCTGTACTGTGCTTTTATATCATAGCTTTATCTTATGGTTTCTTACTCTTCCTGTACTGTACTTTATACCATAGCTTTATCTTATGGTTTCTTACTTCTTCCTGTACTGTGCTTTATATCATAGCTTTATCTTATGGTTTCTTACTTCTTCCTGTACTGTACTTTATACCATAGCTTTATCTTATGGTTTCTTACTTCTTCCTGTACTGTGCTTTATATCATAGCTTTATCTTATGGTTCCTTACTTCTTCCTGGACTGTTCTTTATACCATAGCTTTATCTTATCGTTTCTTACTTCTTCCTATACTGTACTTTATACCATAGCTTTATCTTATGGTTTCTTACTTCTTCCTGTACTGTACTTTATACCATAGCTTTATCTTATGGTTTCTTACTTCTTCCTGTACTGTGCTTTAT